ATTTGGGAAGGAAACTCCTGAGTGCGGAAGAAACCCGTCAATACTGTTAAGTGCGGGAGGCACATGATAGAGAGTTCCAGTCACGGCTGACTTTCCAACCAACGCAACGTCGTGGCGCCACGCATTCTACGCCTGAATGTACCTGAAACCTTGGAGTTTTTTTGTTGAAGTTGTCTGTTCTTTTCTTCTTTTTCCACAGTGCATCTCAGCGTGGCTTGGCTAATTACCGGAGGTGTGGGGGGGGGGGGGTTAACTAAACTACTAAATAGCTTTTGTTTTTGATGAATGAAATGTCCATATCAGTACCGCACCGCAACTCGTTTAGACTTTGAATATAAAATTAGGAAGAAGTCTAACCATTGAATTTATTGAATTTATAAATTCAATGGTCTAACTTAATCACTTAATGGGAACTTGTGGTTCCGTGGCAATCCAGGGAGAGGTAAGGTGTACCTCTCCCACTTTTATAATAATATAATCGGTGTGACTAGCCTCCCGGCTCCGGTATTCATACGAATCCCGGTTTTACTATGACATCACGCTAGTGACGTCAGCGATGCCCGGGATTATTATAAATCCCGGCGGGGTAAGTTATTTAAACATTCCAAATAGAGTTGATAGCATTATACACTTAAGTACGTAGGTACCTACTTTGTAGGAGTATAATATTTATTCAAAATTGGTAAATATTTTAATCGTACCTACAACTAGAAAAATATAATAAACGCAATGGCAAAAGTTGACCCTAATCGATTCAAAATGCATAGTGCTCTTTTGGTATCTCGGCCATTTATGAACCGAATTGCAAACTTTTTTTAATTTATAAATGTATTTAAATGACATTTGACACATATCCACTTGGAATAAAAGCAAATCTAACACCAGGTTCAATTTGGTTTTGCACATACTATAGCCATACCCAAGAGCTCGTTTGCTATATTTTTTACATAGTTATTTTTACCCATACTAATAATACACTATCAGAAGGGCGCGACGCAAAACCCTATAATTCATCAAAAGTACGGTTTGGGCTGAATGTCATTTTACTCAACAAAACCAAGTGATGTAAAAACATCCGCTGAATCTGAAAATCATAATCCCCTGGCCGGAAACTCCCGAAATATATTGTTATACAGAAAAAATGAAGAAAAAATGGGAAAATGTTTTTTTTCGCATTTGACTGCAATTATCTCGTTAACTATCGCCCCGAGGGAAAAAATGAAGAGAAGTGATATTTTTTATGAACTTTTCCATTTTTTTTCTGGTGGGGTATTCAAGTGAATTTGTTTAGAATCGAATTGTCTATGTCCTATGACATACATTTAGTATGGAACGTTCATTTTTAATTGTTATTGTTTTTTATGGAGAAATATAAAAAACGCATTTCCGAAAATTAACAATCTGTTATTACTGAATAAAATTCATCCGATCTTTTTGAAAATCCGAATTTGGTCCCTTCTTTTGATAACAAAACAATACGACAAACCCGATCACCGTAGGTATCATAGTCATTGATTAAATAAACAAACAAATTGGGTAACGCCCATATAGCGTTCTAAATGTTTATATAGATGGTGGAACCCCAAAGCAACCTTTTCCAAAAGTTGTCCCGATGATTTTTGCAAATTGACGGGCGGATTTCGACGTATTTTTTTATGTAGGTACATTTTCCGAGAGGTTTTGTTCGCCTATTAGGGAGTCACATTTCTTGTTATATTTCGGAAATTATTTCATTTGTTAATTAGCAAAAGTCTTCGGATTTTGAAAAAACAATTTGACAGTCCGTCGATTTGCAAGAATCATCGGGACAATTGTTGGAAACGATTTGCTTAGGGTTCCACTAGCGGAAAGAATTGGGGGAGAATCTGAAGGAGACACCCACACCCACTTTGAAATACAAAGCATGGATTTTTTAATTTGTATTTTTAATTAATCAATGACTATGAGACCCACGGTGATCGGGTGATCGGTTGCCGTATTGTTCCGTTATCAAGCTACGGATAATATAAAAGATAGGATGAATTTTGCTTAGTAATAGATTGTTAATTTTCGGGATTACTTTTTTTATATCTTTCCATAAAAAAAACTATAACTTTTGTAAATGAATGTTCCATACCAATTGTATCTTATAGAAAATTCGATTCTAAACAAATTCATTTTTCTTCATTTTCTCTCAGAGCAATTGATAACCAGATAATTGAAGTCAAATGCAAAAAAGACGAAATTTTCCCATTCTTTCTTCGTTTTTTACGTTTTATAACAATTATACAGGGTCCTATAACACTGCGTCGGTCTTTCCTAGTTCATACCTGGTAAAAAAATAGCAAAAAATCTTTTGTGCAAATGTCAACTATAGAATGTTATGCATATACAGAAATTATTTATGAATGTACAGAGTGTCTCATGTTTACGGTGTCAATAAACAGCTGATTTTTTTAAATGGAACAGCCTGTTTATTTTTAGCTAATTCGATGTCATTTTTTAACCTCTGCAGGCGAAATTATTAATTTTTTTTCGAATAATTCTCTATAAACCAGCCCCACTTTGATAAATCGTAGCGACCTTGATTTTAAAGTTAAGAAATAGAAATCAATAATTTCAATCTGAATAACAGGTAATGAGAAAGTTGAATTTAATGATATAGAGTGTTTACAAAAAAATTGTAAAATTTCTAGATTTCAAAGTGCTATAACTATTTTTATTCAAATGGAACTACCACTATTCTGTTTCTCTATTCGATGGTCTGTTGTATGCGCTCGTCAATTCTTAGAAGGGATATCCTGTGCCTGAACCCCGTAGTTTTTAAGTTATTCAATATTTTTCACTAAACAGTTACACATTAATGAATTACATGTTTATAAACAGGAGTAAACCGTGATAATAAAAAACCAAAGAATGCCAAATAGTAAACAAGTGCCATAAATTAATTGTTTGCTGCAAGTGTACTCATTATTTCCTAGTAAAATAAGATTTTTTAAAAAGACTAGTTCGAAATTCGCCTTTTTAATTAATCTTATTTTACTACGAAATAGAGAGCACATTAATTGCAGCAGATAATTTACTTGTGACACTTGCTACTGGAATTATTTTGGTTTCTATTATCACGGCTTACTCGATCCTGTTTATAAACATGTAATTCATTATTGTTTTGTGAAAAAATTGAATAACCTAAAAACTAGGGGGTTTAGGCACAGGACACCCCTTATAAAACTTGAATAGCCAGAATAGCACACAAAACCCTATCGAATAGAGAAATAACATAGTGGTAGGAAAACATTGAAGCGTACCTACCCTAAAATTGCTCACAACCTTTGAATTTTAAATTCAGTCACAAAACGAAAGGTACCCACATTTACTTTCAAACGCTGTGAAAACGAAACTTCGTACAGAAAAACTCAGAAAACATAAATTGTAGAGAATTTAATTTCCTACAAAAAAGTCCGCGACAGCATATATGTATCTTTAACCATGAATAAGCGATAAGCGTTCAAACTTTCACAAAGATATTATTGAAACCAACGAGGACACTAGGTACAACTTTAAATGGTTGGTAAGGCTAAACGATTAAAGATAGATATATGCCGTCGCGGACTTTTTTATAGTAAATTTAATTGTCTACACTTTTTGTTCTATGAAATTTTCTGTGTCTAAATTGGTATTTGCAGCGTTTTCAATTATGTACGCGCGCCTATTATCAACATAAGAGTACGGTAACAAATCAATGAGTGCAAGTGGGAGAGTTCAGCGTATCTTTGTCCTACACATAAAACGCTCTGTAATAAGGAAGAGCAGTGACTGCCTTCGGCGGAAAGCGCGCATATAAATGCAATAGTTATTTACGTTATAAGTCCGGTAGGTTACTTGTAACAGTACGAGTTAGACCTTATGGACGAGGCGACGTCAGGAGCCGAGTCAAGAATGTCTTAAACGAGTACTGTTACAAGTACTACCGGACGTATATCGTAACGTATTTTATTTCATACTGTAAGTCTGTTTTGTATCATTATTTCATTTCAAAGATTACAAAATTTCATCATATTGTAAAAATCGCATTACCTTGTTTCTGTGGCAACGGCCGTTGCTATAGTTTGTAGTTTGTTGACAATTGAATTTTTTTCACTGAAAAATTGACGTTATAAACGTTGTGGGATGTTCCAATGTTCCCGATACAATCCTGTCGAAATCTCATGAAGCAACCGAAAAGTTGGTTCCTAAGAAGTCGGGCGCAAGGTATGAAAAAGAGTACTAAGTGTTTTGCCAATTGAGGAACGAACATGGGGCGAAACAAGTAGAGGAAAAAGTCATGTTGGCATACTTTTTGGACGCAGTAAGTTTTTGAATTGAGATTTTTTTGCCTGGGTTTCGGTGTTAAAGCGTCATGGAGCATGGAAAAGCTCATCGACGGCAGAAAAATACATCGAAGGCTCGGTAGAAGGAAAAGTTAAGATTGCCCGTATGATACAACTGATACAAGGCGGCGAAAATTTCATTGAGTTCTACAGCAGAAGGAATCAAACATTACTAACTCGACATCCAGTAATAACCCAGGCGTAGTGTTGAGGGCAATACAAATTGTTTCATTACAATCAATGTTAATATTTGAAATAAAGAATTACAGCCAAATTTATGTTGGGGTTTTTAATTAATTGTGTGAAGATGTCAAATTTGATGTATACAAATAACAGTCCGGTAAGTGTTGCTTAGCGACACTTACCGGCTCTGATGCTGTAATAACTCACCTACCGGACTCAAAATGATAGTGTAATCGAACATCTACCGGACAGTATGAAATAAAGGTACTTTTCACGTTCATTTCGTAGCTCCATCTATCGCTCAAGGTACTTTTAGAGACCCACGCGAAAGTACAGGCTTAGACCTTTGATTTGACTTAAGACTTCTTCCTAATTTTATATTCAAATTTTAGGCTACTTGCATTAGAACGTGAAATACTTTGGCTTAACTGCATCTATTAATTTTTTATTTAATAATGGGGTTTTTAGGATTCCGGAGGAAATACATATACAACGAGCATAATTATACAAGTTATAGATGTACCAGATCGCCCTCCTGTATGGACATCAATTTTCTCGTATATAACAATACCGGAAAAAGAACGTATGGTAAGAAACATCCCGAGTTCTAACTGTATTACCGTTTTAGTTATCTTTTTAAGCAACCGTTTTAGATTCATTAATCTCATCCTTTGATTATTTATACTCCTTAATGAAAGGTTTTACAATATAGAAAAGATAACTGAAACTGTTATGTGAAAAATGTGTATGTATTACTTCTTAGACGGATAAAAAGACTTGTAAAGTATTATTTCATTTTCATCTTATACAGATGCGTAGAATTGTCAAACCCAGTAAATAGCTCTAGAGTTTTAAGAGATATCAGAATGACCTACACCCTGTATTTTATTTCAATTTTGCGTAAAACGCGTTATTGTAATGTACATTTAATTAACGTGATTTATTTATATAAAATTAAATTATACATGTTCAGAAGACACTAACTAAGGAGCAATTTTACTCAAATTAATAACACTTACAATCTGAGCGCGGATTTCACTATTTATCACTTCGGCATCGAATGAATACTAAGCCTAATTACCAATACAATTTAATTTGCTAATAAAGCAAACAATATAAACGTTCTCGAAAAATCTAGAAGACATGAAAACGCTTATTGATCCTAAATGTGAAAGGGGCACATGGTACCAAGGAGTTTTAATGAAACATTAGTCTTCTGCTCTTTCTGCGTTTTTAGTGAAATAGGCGCGATCGTGATTTTTACAAGAAAACATCATAAAATTTCATTAGCGAAAGTACGATAGCTTAACCCTAAACGCCCTCTGTAACGATTATAAACTTATTTACTTTGCGCTTATGCTCCAATAGGGAATAGGGAATCCATACTCTACCGTATTCAGCGTGCCTAAAGGGACCATACCAATCTGACGCACTTTGTTTCAGTCGAAGACCGCGGTGGCCATCGATGGGGACGTAGCAATAGCAGCTGTTCTAAACTACAAAATAATTACACAAAGTAAGTTGGCTATTAGATAGCATTTTTGTTTAAACATACAAACTATTTAAATGTGCAATGCAATGTTCTTGTTTCCGTCAATATGAATGCGACGCACTGTATCACTTACGTAAAGTAAGCATTGCCTTGTCTATGTTTGTGTACAAGACAAATGCCCAATGTATGATCTTTATAATATTGAAGATAATATAGCTACGATGTGACAGTATGCCCACGTTTTCGAGATGTTGTATAATATGTCATCTGAAGAAAAAGAAAGAAAATATGACCCTTCAAAATATTGTAGATGATTTGCATACGCTTCCGAAGTGTTGCCCTGTATATTCAAGAAACCCTCTTTGATGCACATCGGATATCTAAAATGCGATTCTCTTTCACATATTAAAGATGTAACATACCGGGTGAATATTCCCAAATCGAACATAGTGAATTAACATGGGAAATAGTTATTTACATTGTTAGTGCGGGAACAGTTATTTTGCAGATGAGCGCGAAGTTTGGCGGCGCGAGTGCGCAAAGCGCACGAGCGACGCATATCGCTCGAATACAGCAAATACTGTTCACGCACGTAACGTGTATTCTATTTTTTGCACGAATTAGTTAAATGGAAATTCAAATCATTTCCGCGAGATTTTTGCGACATTATAATTCTTTTGAAAAGATCAAGTCCTCTATGCCGATAAAGTAGAAATCTAGAAATTTAAAATGTCAATTTATTGTTCAAAACTTCTGGTTTCGATAATCTTTTTGTGCATTTTCACATAAAAATTGTCTTCTGATGAGGAGAACTTGATAAACTGCACACCCCCAGAGGTTCGTGCTACTGCATGTTGCAGCAGTTAGCAGCTTACTACCTGCAAAATCGGCGGCCAGATATGAAAAAGCCATATAATCACGAACTTATAAATTAAGATGGACTGCTAATACTGAATTGACAAATGACACCTACATGGGGGCAGCCATGGTACAATAAGACAAGGTATGCCTATGCGTGACGTCATTGGGATAACTGGGCTATATCGTTCAATAAAGTAAAGGGGTTTTGTGTAGTCCTACCAGTTAATAAAAGTGTATCCCCGTTACGGATGTGATAAGATTTGTTCAATCCATGTCAAATGCGTCAAGTTTCTCACATTAAACTTACAAAGTATCAATTATTGCATGTTATCGCAATACAAATATTTAAAGTTACAATAAAATATGTAAGTAAAAAAAGTAAAAATTAGATTAGCGTTTTCAAATAAGGACGAGACCTCTAGCGGCAAAAAAAAAACTTAAAAGGCTGATTAAATTTCTGAAATAAGTAGATTAAGTGGTACGTTTAGCTTCTCTATTGCCTGATATTTATTTCTAAATGCATTCCGAGATGCAGTGTGACTATGCAACTAATAAATACAGTTTAAAAAGGCATATGTTAATGCACACAAGAATTCCAGGTTTGTGCAATGTGCATTGTGTGATTTTACAATCAATTATAAATCCAGTTTCAAAACCCACTTTTTGTTGAAGCAGAAAACTTACAGAGATGCAAAACGAGACATAAAATGTGCCTATAGTATAATTATAATTATAATTATTATAATTATAATTATGCACACATGAATAGAAAATGCGCGTAGCCAATGTAACTTTGTAACCAATATTAATTAAGAAACACTTTGGAGCACATCCTATTACACATGACACTTCCGAGGATTGCCACCAAAGTTATTTATCCATCATTATTACACACTAATTGAGTAATTGCAATGGCACTTCTAATTCAAGTATGAAGCGTATGTCATTTTCAAACTTGGCGGTGATTCTTGTGACGTCATTGGAATAAAAACGTCATCTCCGTTTAGTTATAGGCATACCTTGTCTTATTGTACCATGGGGGCAGCCATGATGTGCACTCACTTGGCGCGAAATTCAAATCAACTAATAAACAAGCATTAACCTCACGTTTTCTAAATAAATTACTGTGACACCTGACACATATCATTTTCCAAGGCTGCAATAGTCTCAAAACTTGAGCACTAGGAGAATTCCCCTAGAAAATAACTAAAAGGGTCACATCATGGCCGCACCCATGCTAGAGTTATTTCTACCTCTATGCAACTGTTTGATCAGCAGTCCATCTTAATTTATAAGTTCGTGCATATAATGCTTTCATGGAATGGTGTAAAGCTAATAAGGTCAAAAATTACACGAAAAACTGTTTATTGGCTTATTTTCAAAACATTAGTGACTACAAGGTCATTATGGTCAATACACGGCATGTTCAAATTGCGCCTTGACATTAAATATAATGTGGATATTTTAAAAGCTACTCCCAAAGGGATTGTTGGCTAATAAAGGTGCCGATTTTTTTCTCTGTCAAAAGGTATATAGTGGATTTAGATCTTCGGCATTTACGGAAGGTTATGTTCTCCAACAAGATACAGGTAGCACAAACTTTAATTTCTGCGACAGGCCCATGCGGTGGATCCCACATAACTACATCATTCCTACGAAGTTTCGAATCGGTGTTTGAGTAATACAGTTAGTAATGAAAGTAACCCTGGAGTTTCTGGTATTTCAATTGAGCCTTCCACTAATTGCAAAATCACTGCAAATGTTTATAACAATAATTAAATTATTGTAGGAATAAGTACTTATTTGCTACTTTGTTTATTAAATCATTTACTGTTAGTCAGGGAGACATTTCTGAAAAAGGCTCTCTAAATCAAGTCTAACGGCGTTTTGTGCTACAAACTGGCTACAGGCGGTTTTAGACTAATTTCGACCCCGCTGAAAACGATGCGCCATGTTGCCAGACCTGATTTTGGCATTTAACCCCTTCAATCCAAGAGGGCGATTGAAATTGCCGCTTTTCGGTTATTTCGAGCCCCCAAGGTAGGTACGTCATTGAACATTTTGGGTATACTTTACGGGTAGAAATAGAATAACATCTAGTACACACGACGACACCGTTTAGGCACACTTTCGTATAAATAATAGGGGCCTAAATGCAAACATGTCGCTTAAAAACGTCAAAAATGCAAAAATGCGTCATGTTTCATCTTGTTTTCTTTTTGATCTGTTTTCAACGCCCGATATTTATTTCTATGGTAAACTTAACATTTAAGTATGTACCTAGACACCTCCAACAGCGCCATATGCCTGGTGCCTAAATACCAATAACTCTTGGCTTGGCAGTCGAAACTGTTTAGAATATTGAACACTAATATTATGCAAAATGATATTATGCAAACTGTAAAACGGTTTAACGAATGAGAAAGTTGCAGTTTAACTTTGTGACTTCCTCCATATCAGGGAAAACAATAATATTAAAAGTCATCGTCCGGGCCGTTACCTATCGCTTTTAATGTCAGATAAAATAATGTTACTTTCGCTGCCATTGTAGTAATTTGCACTACAACCGCACCTCTGATTGCATGGAAGAGGTTCTCCATCTTCGTCAAGTGTCCACCGACACTTGTAGGGTCTTGTTTTGCAGCCTCCCCTGCAGCCACAAGACACGAAGAGAACGCACGCACGAGAATGGATTCAAGTGACATCAAAATTGGCTTCATTGCATCATTCTGGATTCGCCATCCACACTCCGTTGCAGAAGTAAGGCGCCGCGAATCTTCACAGGCGGTGTTCAAATAACTGACTAAAAATAAGTAGCAATTTCACCCTTTCCGTGGGTCACGTCATCAATCTTTGTCAAAGCATCGTTTCCTCCAAACAGCTGGGATAAAAACGGACCATGGCAACTGCCTCGCTAATGCTGGTCTCAGGTCTGGCGTTAAGAGGTACCATTTGTACTGTATCTTACAGATTTCAAGTAACTCAGTGCAACGTGAACAAGCTCCGAAAAAAGAGAGTATATGGTGGCGGGTAAAACGCAAAAATCATTTCCATAAAGATTTTCATTTTGCATAATATTAGTGTTCAATATTCTAAACAGTTCCGACTGCCAAAAGTTACGTTTTAAACAAATCAAAGAAAACTTGGGAAGTATGTTTTCATATATTTTTACTTACCCATATTGCCCGCATATTACGCCGCCAAAAAACCAACTTGGCTTCTACGACAAAAAAACGACTTTTTCCCTGTTTTTGGACTTTCCAGGCGCCATATTGGTATTTAGGCTCCTGGCATATGGCGCTGCGGGAGATCCCCACATATTAGAAGAAATATTGGATGCCGGCACCAGGCCAGCAAGAAAAAAAAGGACGAAAAGTGACGAATTTTGCATTTTTAACGTTTTTAAGCGTCATTTTGGCACTTAATATGCATACCAAAGTGTACTTAAACGGTGTCGTCGGGTGTACCAGATGTTATTCTACGCGTAAAGTACCCAAAACGTTCAGCGGCGTGCCTTAGGGGATCGAAATAAGAATAACCGAAAAACGGCAATTTCGGCCGCCATCTTGGATTTGGGGGCTTAAATACCAAAATGGGGTTTGGCAACAGGCCGCATCGTTTTCAGCGGGGTCGAATTAGTCTAGGACCGCCTGTTGCCAGTTTGTATCACAAAACGCCGTTAGACATCACTTTTCAGAAATGTCTCCGTGACTATGTTGTGAATTGCCATTGGTTACCCTTTTTCTTTTCAATTACAAGATTTATACAAAGACGAGTACATTAAAAGCACAACACACGTATGATGGCGATGTCCTTGACCATATTTTAGTTACAATTAGCAGTCCATGTACTATATGGTCTAAGTTTAAGGGTTAGACCAAAGAGTACCGTTACTCTTTGGTTAGACTTAGTTAACTAGATGTGCAAAACTTATAATAGATGGCAACACGTGGATCAAGTGAAATTTTTAAAGCTTATTTTTTCTTTTGTAGTACAGGGAACGATGTAAAGGGTATTTATATTTTCTTTTTTACTTTTCCATCATATTACTTATTAGTTTATGATCCGCACTAAATAGATAATTTTGTTGAATTTTTAGGCACTAGTGCGCGAAAGTAGATAGTCAATTGTAAAATTGACGTTCCCGTCGTTCATGTTTATTGGGAAAACACGATTTAGAATGAAGGAGTGCAAAAAAGGTTTCTTGTAGATTCTTGCTCCCCGTGTTAACTTAGAGGGTTTATAATGACACCTATCGAAAGAAGATTTTTTTCCTCGTCTAATGATATACGAATTAGTTCATTTTCAGGTGTATTTCTCACTATTTTATCAAAAATTCGGCAATAAATCCACTTACCAAAATCATGTTAAGCCATGACTAGTAAGACAAAAAGCAGATTCAAACGTCGAAATCAATATCAGTTTATGACAACTGGCATTAATTTTTTTGTAAAATGTGGTTCACTGAGGAAAAAGTATTTATATAATAAACAACGTTTACAGCGGAAATATTTACTCTAATAGTACGAGATATTTGTTTTCCGTGCATTTTAATGAGCCGAATGAGCGTGTTAGTGGGTTCATATGTAATCACCACTAAACAAAAATAAAAAAAGAAACGAATCTAACTTTTCTTTATTGTACGGAATAAATTGCCAATGTTTATCTGGCGAAAGCAACGGTGTTCTCCCCTTAAAACTATACCGCTGATGGTTTTCATCCCGGCAAAAGGAATGACAAAAAATTGTCCGGCACCTGCTTTGTCGGGGTGGCGTGATTTGTATTAATTACATGTCAAAGTCATTGGTCACGCCCGACCAGCTGGTCGAGGGTTGTTAGTTCTGTGGGTTAATGTCGCCACAAGCGTCCCATTCCGATTTCCGTCTGTGTGTGAAAACCTATCTCATTCTTTAGGAAATTCCATGGCTTAACATGATTTTGCTAATTGGATTTACTTATTGCCGAATTTTGGATAAAATAATGAGAAATACACCTAAAAATAAACTAATTCGTATATCGGTATATCATTAGATGAAAAAAAAAACCTTCTTTTGATTGGTGTCATTATAAACCCTTTAATAGTTAACATGGGGATCAACGATCTGCAAAAACGTTTTTCCCATGTTAATTGCCTATGTTCGGTTTTAAAATATTCACCCGGTATACTATAATAAAGGAAAATGCTAAAAATAAAATATCTGGACCAGAGTTGTGCACAATTGATACTTTCCTACGTTGCTACGTTTTTTGTTACGAACATCGAAGATTAAAACGAGTAATTCGTATCTCCTGTGTTCTGTGCGTTCAAAATAAATCTGAAAACTTATAGATTTTTTTCTTGGGGCCAAAAATATTGCTGTAGAATTTTTTTGGAATTTTTAATAAAGAAAATTACTCGGAAAATTATATTCTTTATTCTCACGTTGGAGAACATATTTGATTTTATGGTCTCCTTTTCCACTCATTCAGTATGTAGCCTGTTAAATGAACCATAGGAAAGCATTATTAGAGGCTTAGTTCGAATTTTAGGTAAACAATTAATGTCACTATACAGGGTGTTACACGACCGTTCGAAAAAAAAAAATCGGGTTGTAGAGGGCATCAAAACAAGCACTTTTTCCAAATAAACCGAGGTCCAACGTGTTTCGTTTGGGAGCCACCCCCCAAAGAGTGTTGAAATCTGCATTTCTTCTTTAATTTTTTTCTCAGCAACCAATAAGAGTTACAAAGTCGGGTGCATGTCTTTGAATAGGTTTTTGGGTATGCTCTTTCCGATTTTGCAATTTTTTTTTCAAAATTCCTACCCCTAAAGGGCGCACCCCTAAACTAGGGTGCAAAAAAAATTCTGATTTCGACGAAATTTGGTATCTGGGGTTTTTTTAACATGAAAATCACGAATCTGAAATTAGTTTTTGAAAATTCGAAAAAAAAAAAGTTCCACTGCAATTCTTGGCGGGACAACGAAAATAGAGATAATTCCACGAAATTTGTTGTGTACATACTAAACGAGTTAAGGAACAAAACTGTCGAACAGTTTTTTAAAATAACTTTTCAAACAAAGTTATACTCATTTGATGTTGGTCCTTCGGGTCGCAAAGTTGTCCAAGCCACAGTAAGCCATAATTTCGCATGTGTTGGTTGAACAAGTCGCCCAAAAACAAAAGATTAACGGTTTGAGTCGAATATTTGTTTATTTGGGAATTAATTCGGTCATTAAATGATTAAAAAATTCGATGTATCCGATTTAAAACACCTACCAAGGTATCTTTAAAGCGCTTGTGATCGATGTTTATAATACTAAATAAGTAGTGGAAATTTGTCCCTTAAAAGGAGAGTGTCTTTGGAAGATTATTTTTTCAACCTAAGATTCCATGAAAATTTTTGATCGCATAGTGAAAAAGTATCATACGCGAAAAGTGATTTGACTTTTTCCCCTACCTTATTTTAGTAATAAATAATCGATCAGCGGCTTTAAGATACGCTTGGTAGGTGTTTTAATCGATACATCGAATTTTTAATCATTTAATGACCGAATTAATTCCAAAAACAAAATATCGATCAAACCGTTAATCCTTTTGTTTTTGGCGACATTTGTCAACCAACACAATGCCCGAAATTATGGCTTACTAGTAGCTTGCGGACACTTTCGCGACCGAAGGACCAACATTCCAAATGAGTATAACTTTTGTTTTGAAAAGTTATTTTTTTTTAAAAAACTCTTCGACAGCTTTGCTTCCTTAACTCGCTTTTAGTAGGCTACACACAAATTTCGTGGATTATCTCTATTTTCTTGTCCCGCAAGAAAAAAATTGCAGTGGAACTTTTTTTTTCGAATTTTCAAAAACTAATTTCAGATTCGTTATTTTCATGTTAAAAAACCCCCAGATACCAAATTTCGTCGAAATCAGAATTTTTTTTTGCACCCTAGTTTAGGGGTGCGCCCTTTAGGGGTAGGAATTTTGAAAAAAAAATTGCAAAATCGGAAAGAGCATACCCAAAACCCTATTCAAAGACATGCCACCCGACTTTGTAACTCTTATGGTTGCTGAGAAAAAAATTAAAGAAGAAATGCAGATTTCAACACTCTTTGGGGGGGGGCTCCCAAACGAAACACGTTGGACCCTCGGTTTATTTGGAAAAAGTGCTTGTTTTGATGCCCTCTACAACCCGATTTTTTTTTTCGAACGGTCGTGTAACACCCTGTATAAATTGATCACGCATACAAAACTAGTTCTAATCGAAGTGCGAATATCATAAGTTGGTTTATAATTGTTAATGTTTTATTTTGTTAATATGTACCTACTAAGATATTTATGTTTAATGCTTTAAAATAAATATTTTCTTGAACAATTAAAATAATGTAGTACGAGCTGTTTTATGTCCATCAAGGCATAATAAGTGATTAAAATTAGAAATTTTGTAGGGCACGACCTGTTTAAGGTGGAAAAAGATACTGGTGAAGTTATTATCGGACCTATAGACAGAGATGATGAAAAACAAGAAATATTTAATTTCACTATAAGAGCTTACGAAAAAGACGATGCAACATCATACGTGGAACAAAGCGTTACAGTGAATGTACAAGATAAAAACGATCATTATCCGAATATTACTGTTACAAAAGATTCCGTTTCTATTAATGAAAGTTCTATATCTACTCTGGATACACAAATAGAAATAAACGATCTAGATCTGGTAAGTACATTGCTCAGAAAACTGCATTCTTGTTTCTCAGAAAGTAGTTAGCCAATTGTAATAGCCCTAATTAATTCAGCTGTTATTTCTTTATCATATCGCAAGTCGCGAAGAGAAGAATCTAGTCAATGAAGTTACAGTGAGTTTTTTTTAAATGCGAACATAGGAGTTTGCATGCAATGTTTTCCCTATGTTCGATTTTAAACAAAAACACATCAATCTATGAGGTGTGCGCGGTTCACATTCCCAAATCGCGCAACTTGTGTGACTATGAACAGCAACTCTAATAGTCTTTATGATGAAGAGCACTCGGTAAGATTTTTTTAAAGAAGTCATGTGAGGCCATGGCAACTTTAGGATACATTTTTCTTAAATTTACGATAACTTGACCTCACAGGCCACGCACTGACACCACAACTCATTGTAAACCAACCTTCAATTATTTGTAGGTCATGTACACCTGGTATTCTACTAATTTGATCTATTCAATACATAAATGAAGAAAATAAGAAAGTAAATAACGAAAACAATTACAATAAATGTTCGAAGTGTCCTCCTTGACATTCTAAGCAATAACCTAACCGATTTCGTAATTAAACTGGATGGCGGTATTTTTAAAAATGTGACAGCTGTCAATTCTATCTACTACTCATTTGAACTACTCAATAGATTGATGTGTTTTTTTTTAATCGAACATAGGGAAATTACGTACAGTACGACACATACAGTGAGTTTTTTTTAAAATGCGAACATTGGAGTTTGCATGCAATGTAATTTCCCTATGTTCGATTTAAAAAAAAACACATCAATCTATGCGGTGTGCGCGGTTCACATTCCCACCAGCAAAACGCGCAACTTGTGTGACTATGAACAGCAGCTTTATAGTCTTGATGATGAAGAGCCCTCGGTAAGATTTTTTTAAAGAAGCCATGTGAGGCCATAGCAACTTTCAGATACATTTTTCTTAAACTTACAATAACTTGACCTCACAGGGTACGCGCTGATACCACAACTCATTGTGAACCAACCTTCAATTATTTGTAGGTCACGGGCACCTGGTAATCTGGCATTCTACTAATTTGATCTATTCAATACATAAATGAAGAAAATAAGAAAATAAATAACGAAAACCACTACAATAAATGTTCGAAGTGTCATTTTAAGCAATAACTTAACCGATTTCGTAATTAAATTGGACGGCGGTATTTTTAAAAATGTGACAGCTGTTAATTGTATCTACTACTCATTTGAACTACTCAATAGATTGATGTGTTTTTTTTAAAAATCGAACATAGGGAAATTACATTGCATGCAAACTCCTATGTTCGCATTTAAAAAAATTCACTGTATGTTGCGTTGCTCATTTTTGTATAATAAATGATAAATAGACCACACATTTGATTCCATTACCTCAAAAATGTTTACAATGTAAATTAATTTTAGGGGAAGCATGCCACTTACAAGGTTTCACTGACGCCAACTAAATTTAGTGATGCTTTTCGAATTGTACCGCCTACGGGTTATCAAAAGGCATCCTTCTTTATTTCAGTTGTAAATAGTGAGCCACTTGATTACGAAGACCCGGAATGGAGGAAATTCGATTTAGAGGTTAGTGGAAATTATTAAAACACAAGTAAAGTTTAATTTCAATTTTGCGCTTGCGAATACACACTAAACAATACATACGTGCCTTTACACATTTTTTTGAGTTTTTGACCCAGCGGCAAAGAGACGGGATATGACGATGTGTTAAGATGTCGAGACTTCTCACCTTTTATTTGTGAATATCGGAATATTCTATTCTGACACTCCGCATTTAGGTATACTGTCCACTCAATTGACACCTTGAAGGAAAATCATGGCTAACAACAATGACTTGACCCCTAAACAAATCTGAAATTTATTGCGTTTTGTAGATACAATTATGCGTTTTATACTTCCGCTTCTGGAAATCGCGTTATTTACCAAAACTGCAGAAAAAGTAAACAAAGAAAAACATTTTTTTCTATTTCGGTGTCACAATGATGATTTTCGCCCGAAAACAGTTGTATAAAGACAGTGATTATAGTCGTTTTTTTTGGTAACTCATCTCTTAAGTTGGCAGTTACTAGTTAGTACAAGTAGGTACTTCGTTGGGTACTTCCATGTTTGAACTTCAAAATGTCAGTCTTACTACGCTGCCAACCTAAAACTTAACGGCATAAAAAGTGTTCCCAACATAAAACATGTTAGTTCTAATATTCCCTATAGTTTCTGATAATTATTTTTTTAATTAAATTAAAGCACCGAAATAGAAAAAATAGTATGAAAAACGCGTGTTACAATGCTTTATTGTAATACTCCTATCTTGCGGACACTCGTGGCTACCTACGCTTCGCGTCGCCACTCGTGCCACAAGATAGTCGTATTACAATAGGTCGCATTGTAACACTTGTCTTTCAATATACTATTGTATCCTTTAGTCCCAAATCATTCGTGATACAATTGTACGAACGACAAAGAAGTTTCTCGCGTGGCGAATTTTGCCCTGCGCGGATAATTAATGCGCGATCTTGTAGGGCTTGTTAAATCTACATTAATACCAGATAGGGCATTATATACGCATAATTGGAGGCGCATATCATTCTAGTTTAAGATACCGAAAGAACTATAATGATATCGTTCCTAGAAAAAGAAATATGATGGTGTAAAGATAGAACACGGATTTACTATCGTCGTTTTATCTCCAAAGACTTTAAACCTTAAAATTAATTATTTCCAGTATTTCTAAAAATTAACAAACACTATAATTTAACTGAGTAGATATACAATGCAGATCCTGGCTCACTTCAAGGTCGCTCGCCACCTGGTGGTGACCTTAGAAAGTGAGTTAGTCACGCGGCCGTGACTTTGGGAAGTAGGTCAAGGTGAAAGTTAAGTGTCATCCCATTAATTTCCGCGGTCATCCGAGGTCATTTACCCATTAATTTTCAAGGTCATCCGAGGCCATCGACTCCATTGAATTTCAAGGTCATCCGAGGTCATTGATTCCATTAATTTTCATGGTCATCCGAGGGCATTGGCCCCTTTAATTTTTAAGGTCATTCGAAGTCGTTGACCTCATTAATTCTCAAGGTCATCCGATGCCTCAAATTACATTTCCAATGTCGTCAGAGATCATTGACTCCATAAATGTTCAAGGTCATCCGAGGACATTGACCTCGCTTTTTTGTTAACAAATTACATTTTCAAGGACATCCGTAGTAATTGGCCCCCATAAAATATTAAGACCATACGATGTCGTTGGCCCCGTTTTGTTGTGATATCAAATTACATTTTCAAGGTTATCCGAGGTCATTGCCCCAATAAATTTTCAATTTCATTCGAGGGCATTGGCCCCATTGTATGTAGTGTCAAATTACCCGTTTAATGTGGTGTCAGATTTTTAAGGTCACAGGGCAATACCCTCTTTTTGTGGTGGGCAATTACATTCTCCAGGTAACCCATGGTCAATGAACCCATTTTTTTGTATATCAAATAGCATTTTCA